ACACCTGCTCTGCTGTGGCAGAGCAGCAAGATCCTAAGAAAGAGGTACCCAATGTCTTCAGAAATTTGATAGGCTGCCACAAGAATACCAGTGGTGGCTACAGCTACTGAAAGAGGATGAAAAGAGAGCAGACAAACAGCAGTTCCTTTTTTTGAGTTTGGGGTATCATTTTTCCTCCTGCAGCCAGAGTAGTGGAGTTCCTGGGGCAGAGCTCACATCCACATTCATGGGCAGCTTTCCACCGCCCTTTGCATGCTGCACCTTGGAGCTCAACCATTCTCCAGCCCTACCCCATCTCTTAGCTTCTCCCATTTTTCTACAGGCTGTGGCATCCTGATCCTCTATTGCACTGGCAAGGGCTTTTTTCAAGGGAAGGCAGGGAGGCAGATACCTCAGAGCTGCTATCCTGCTCCTGACTCTATGAGCACACCTTCCCGGGGCTGAGTGATCCTATAAGCCGATGGGATGACCAAACCCCAGATAATCTGTTTGTTCAACAACCCAGTTTGGACAAGGGAAATCAAACTTTCAGAGCAAACTTCTGCGCACAATCCAGCAACATGCATCAATAAACTCTTCCCCCTGTTTTTAATTTCTTGTCATGCATTCAGCGCTCAGTCAGTAGTGCCTTAGAAACATCTTGCTAGCTGCCCACACTCAAAAGGAGAACAGCAACAACCACAAAGGGAAATATATAGAGGGATGGCTTAAGTCAGTTTAGAAATCGCTTCCCATATGAAACACTCCTTTAGTCACGGGCACAGGAAAGCATCAAAATTCCCTGCTTCTGATGTAAACAACAGAAAGAAAAAGTCATCTGGAAGGACAAGATGATTCATACTGAGGACCTGACTCGCAATATTCATCAGTGTTGAAACTGCCTCTGCAAGATGATTACATGTGAAAACAGCACCAGTGAAATCCTAGCTTCTGCCATGAGAAGTATCATTAGCGGCACAGTGGTGTGGTGAGACTCCAGTGCCACAACACTTGCTCAGGTGAGTAATCATAAGTCATCCAACCAGTCCCAGCTAAAACAGCACTGTCATTCAGGTAAGACTGCTTTACATAAGGGCAGCTGCAGCAAACTGGAACGCACTCAGGCTTTGCAGGCCTCTTTAACTGCAAAATAGAAGGTTTTTTCTTGGTCTTGTAAAAACTCCTGCTGAGGGTCCCCTTACAAAGATGCTGCTCAAGTTGAGCGCTTGAAGAAGACTGGAAAATTTGGTCAGTCTTTTTCTTTATGTAAATTGCCCTGACCCAAGTGGTAACAGGGCACAAAAGGCCATGCTGACTTTATGCATTGTTAGGAGATACTTTCCCCTGAACATTTGAATCTGTTCACTTAATCTTCCAGGCCTTCACCCATGAATATTAAATTACTTGATCACTATGCATTAGGAGTCATCTTCGCACCATCTGTTTGTATTTGTCATCTAACCCTTGTAAATAATAAAATGTACTTTGTTCTCAAGTTCATGGATCCTAGCAGGAGAGCAATTGCTGTAGAGGAAAAGTACTGTGTGAAACAGTACTGACAGGACTCTTCTTTAAGTCCCCATCTTGCCACTATACAGTAATTAAATGAAAGCCAGGATTTGCCCCAAAGAGCGATGCTTAACTTCCATGGTTTCCTTGAAGGCCCTGAAAGTGTGCTTCTAAAAGAAGGCAACGTCAGAAGAGAAGGCTGCACTTCAGGGCAGCAGCCTTTCTGAGCACCAGGCATGCTCACAGGAGCTAGCTGCCCTACTCAGGCAAAAACATGTGGCTGTTTAACAGCGTGGTCTGGGCAACTGGCCTGGGCAAACTTTCTAAGAGGTATACTGGCAGGGAAGAAACATCTGCAGAAAAAGGAGTAAATAAGTGGATATGCAAAGTTGCTCTCACACTTGGGAGTGCCATTAAAGAAGTGAAATTGTCACCCATCAGCTGAGAGGTAAAGTTCAAGGAAGGCTAGGCAAATATCAAAGGAAACAATGACAAAATGCAGTTGTTACAATAAGAAATTAATCCTTAGAGGGAGCTCTGCCTGAAAATTTTATTAGATCACACAATGAGAACAGCCTTGACACATATTACCAAGGTTCAATTTCAACTGTCAATGCAGATAAATGTGTGAATCCTTAGGACAGCAGTCACGTGAGTAACAAGAAACACACACCATGGCTGAAGACCTCTGTGGACAACAAAAACTGGCTGGCGAGCACACCTCACAAGCATGGTGCCCTGGGAAGCTGGTCAGAGACACACTTTGCAGCAGACTCACAATTATTTACATGCCCTAAGAATTTGTCTCTCTGTGCTCTTATAAATTAACCTATATGCCAGGCAACTATCAATAAGCACTCAAATTGCTACTGTCTAGTTAAAACCTAATGTAGCTGGTTAAAGAAGGGATCGTTTAGGAGATTAAATGGAATCATATTATTTCTATCTGACATGTTGGTAGCAACAAATTTAGGCAAGAAAATGGTTGTCAAATATTTGTTTAACTGGAAGAATTATCTAGGCTTGGACAAGATACCACTTGCCACTCTGCTCAGCCTTGCAAACATCCCACACTAGGAGGTTACCTATTAAGTGATAGACAATATATCTTGTTAGTTGTTAGAGCATGATGACCTTAGACTTTGCCCAGGTATTTAATAAAACCATCTGCTGTCTAGGTCTGCAATACTATTATTTTTACATGAGGATTAGTCTTCTTGCTTCACAAAAAAGGTTGTAATAACAGTGCTAAAGAAGAGCAGAGCAGCATGGTATTTCAACTCAGCTGTCCAAGTAAAATATACAGGTGGTGCAGCTCACCCCAAAAATCCCAGATCATTGTCTTGAATCTGGAAATCATGATGTGCTGAAGGCTGAGGGGCTGTGATCCAACCCTGTGGACTGCACTTGGGAAAAACTCCTGTGTCTTGCCTGATAACGAGCTGGGAGTGAATTCCACTGTGGTGCAGGCTGCCAGTTGCTTTGCTCTTTCTGTCACTGTTGCTGTTTCCTTCCCCAAATCAACAGCAAGGGTCCAAAGGCCACCATTTAGTAATCACTGTGCCTTCAGATCTTTTTCTCTTTGATAACATGCTTTTAAAGCATGTGCATTAAGTGCCAAATAATCTATATCTATATCTACAACTATAAAGGGTCCAATCCTGTTCTTGCTGAGAGTGATATGATTTTTGGCCTGGGCTTCTCAGAGAATTTAGGAGAGGGAAGAAAACAGTGGATTTCTCTGTGCAGCTGGTGTCTTCTGGTCAGTGCTTCCATGGGGCTTCGTGTAAAGCCATTCCCAGTGTGCTGGGAACCTGAGCCTACTGGATTCAGTGACAAAAGTCTTAACAACTGAGGTTAGTCAGTTTCTCACTCTGGAATGTTACAATTTTTGGGCAAATAGTCTTTTCCTCTGAATAAAGAGAAGCTGAAACCCAGTAGCTGGTGAGCTGCCAGATGGAGGAAGCATTAGAGGTGTGAACACCAAAATGCTCCAAAAAACAATGCCGAGAGAAAGAGCCCAGACCATACTTTAAATTCAAAAGTGCACATTTGCAGTGTGGTTTTTAAAATGTTTTTATTTTGCTTACTCCTTATGTCACTCCAGTGTGTGTATGAGGAATACAACAATCATGAATTCTCCACACTCTCCAGTTTAATTCCTATATAAGACCTAGGAGGAGGAGTACTTTATTCGGCACTCTGTTGCAAGAGAGGTCAAATATGAAACTGAACATATGAATGTAATTAGGAGGGCATGTAAAATATGGGGGCTGGATGTCTTTACAGTGTCCAAAGCAGGCATGTCTTGACATGCCATTGGTTGAAGAGGATTTTAAGTATTCCAGTCTGTCAGACAGTGTATCTGATTACATCTGAAGAGTTTCTTAGCCTTTTGCTCATGTGATTTTTCTCATATTTCAAGTGTAGAAGTTTGATTCTGAAAGCCTAACATGCAGAAATAGTCACCTGTTTTTGAAATACATGAAATAATATCTTTTTATTACCAATGCTGGTTTTGGAAGAAGATGTGAAAAAGTCCAGGTTCTTCCCATACGTGCCCTATACCCATTCTGAGGCAAAGTAAGTTCTAAGGAAATTTATGTATGCTACCTGGAGCTGCATATAGCAGGTTGGGATGGGTTTTTTTCAACCATTTGTAAACAGAGAAACTGGTATTTTCATATTGTATAGAGCTGAGTTGGGGTTCCTTCTATTGTTTCACAAATGGTAAGGGAATGGCTAAAATCTGCACCAAACTGATGTACAAAAATCTATCTCTACCTTTTGCCTATGATTTGCATTTTCTTTTAAACCTTTCCAAGTGAAGCAGTAGGCAAAACCCCCGGCAACCAGAAGCATGTGCAAGGATGCAGAAAGCTTTAGAATATGTTTCCACACCCTGCTGACCTATTCATCAAAAAGTCTGCCAAAACATGTAACTCTCAGTATAAAACAAAATTCACAAGAAAGGGCCTCTCTTGCATTAACCTACTTCTTTCCAGGTTGCATGCCACTGCAGATCTCCTAGAGGAAGGGGAGCTGAGCCCATTATGTGACTTTTCTGTCAGTCCTAGGAGTTTTCCCAGCTCCTTGGCAGAGGGGGGCACTAGCAGGAGCAACCCCCCTCAGCACTGGCAATGAGTCAGACTGGGACCCTGAGCTGAGCCAAGTAGATGCTACAGTTCTCTGGACAAGGCAGGAGTGAGCTGTCAGCTGCAGGACCGCTTGACCTCACGTTAACTGGTGCTGTGCATTATCACCTCAGGCCAAATGCCACTCTAGTGAAAATTCAGTGACTTAGCCGAGCTGCCTCCGGCAGGAACTATGTTCCCACTGTGATCACTGGTTTCCTGAGGTCAGGGGTGGTGAGCGATACTAGGTTTAGATCTGCCTGGCTCTTTCTCTTCCCAGCTGTCTCTCCATTTGAAACACCATCCCAGTCCAGGAGCATCACACAGTCTCAGGCTAAGGTTCTCACAATCCCAGAGAACACTTGTGGAGCCATAAACTTGACATCAATGGCTTCAAATGGAAAGTAGTCCCCCAAGCTGAAGTAGACAAAGGAGTATCTTCCTCCCTTCATACCTGCATCCCATGTGCCAATTTTCCAGATTTTAATACAAAGTCCCCTTTTATATTTTGTGGGCACGCACATAAATGAATATACACACACACACATGTTTTATTCCAATTTTGTACCAGTTAGACACCAGGCCCAATAAGAATAACATCAAAAAAATCATGCTGGTACTTAAATGTTTTTGTAGCTCTACTGAGCCATAAGGACACTCCTCTGCAACGCAGGGGTTTCCCCACATTATCAGTGTTGGTGATGGAGGCAGGGATGCTATAGTGCTCTGCAAGAGATGGATCCCACTTCTCAAGCTCCTCAGACCGTGGTAGGAAATGGCAGACCTACATCCAGAGTGGCCCCGTGACCCTTGGAAGCCCAGCTGGTCCATGTGTCCCTCCCTCTTCCCCAGTGTGCACTTCAGCAGCCTGATGAGGTGGGGCACAGCCACTGGTGAGTGACGGGATGGGTACAGGTGCAGCATGAGGTGCAGCATGAGAGGCTTCTGCTACAGCTCCAAAGTGATCCCACTGCTGAGGTCCCTTCCCAGCCTCCCATCCCGGCCTGCTCCCTTTTGCCCCAGGAGCACCCTCAGCACAGCAGGATGGGGGCACCTGGGCAGGTTTAGCTGCTCTGCACCTATTGGTGCTGCCGGATTTGCTCCAGCAGCAATGTAGGCAAGATGCCAAGGGCAGCGTTAGGCAGAACCAAGCAGCCAGAGTGGGGGAGAGTGGGACCACTTCTTCTAGTGGCAGCACCAGCTCACTGTGCCCACCAAGGCAAAGCTGCAAGTGTGCTGCATGCTCTCCTCCAGTAGCTCACCCATATCCAAGACTATTTGAATCAAAGACAGGATGAGATGGTGCTCTGGAAACCAGGGCCAAGCTCATGGTGCTCTGGGGTGGTGATTTGGTCTGCTATTATGTAAGATTTAACAAAAGCTGTATAACAAAACTATTTTAAGTAAGAATGTTAATTGAAGGCTGAGTCAGGCTGCAGCTAAAGCAGAGATGTTTTTGAGAGGCTTGTACCCTTTTTCATTTGGTCTGTATTTTTTCCACTTAATTACAATGTGTGTGGAACAGCAGTTAGCAATAATAGTAACTGGCAGAGGGAAAATGGATGATCAAGATGATCACCCTCTTGCCTCTGGATCAGCCATTGAAACCCATCCCAGATCTGCAATATTCAAAAGTCATTAACCTCTGAGGCTGCACAAGGTGTATGGGAAGTGGAAGCAGACCATGGAGCAAATAGGCAGCTGCTTAGTGCTCCTGATCATGATGAACTGTGTGTGGAGACTGTGATGAGATGTGTTAGGGGGCAGGTTGTTGAGGGATGCCTGTCTGGCACCTTCCAGGAGTACATGCAAGACCCCTGAATCAGAAGAGAGTGGTGGCTGTGCAGGCAGCCTCTGCAGCCACCCCAGCGAGCTCACTGACATGCCCATTCCTCAAGCATGATGCAAGGTTCTTGGCAGGAGCCATTATGAAGATGACTGGTCCCTCATCCAGTCCTATTTGGGAGACTAAGTGATACCCAAGTCCCAGCCTTTGGCAAGTTCCTTTAATGACTAAAATTCGCAGGAGGAGACGGAGTTTAATTGCCAATTCCAGCACAGGTGTACCAGTTATTAATGTTGCTAGTGTTCTTTTAATCAAATATGAACTCAACTGTACTTCCTAGCAGGCACCTCTCTTTGGAGCTCAGCTTGAGCAGGAGGGATGTATGTTCCTGGAAAACAGATGTGTATGATTTTTTTGCCTGAAACTACACATGGACAGGATGAGGTAATGCAATACAGATCTGCTCTAAGTTTACGAACGCATCAATAATGCCTGAACTCGTAAGTATTGCTCCTCAGCATTGCTACACAGTATTATACTACTCATATGACAGAATGTACAAGAAGACAAAAATACTCTTTTTTTACTTGTTTTTACTTACATATTACACTGCAGTCATCAAAAAGATAAGGCTATGGGCTGAAGCACAGAGAAGAGCATTTCTTCCCTCCTCTGACTGTGCAGAATGCTCCCTGAGGGGCTCCCTGCAAAGGAGGGGTACTGCCTGGGCATCAGGAGGAGAGAAAGGGAGAGAATCAGATGAAGTGCCAGGATGCCAAAAACAAATTTTGGTTCTATTTCATGTTTTCTCAGATTTAGGTACATTTCTGTTGGCTCTTTACATTGCAAAATTGAAATAGTATAGCTGCAATGATTAGCAGAAACATGGTCACCTCAACCATATCTCAATGTGCCTGGAACAAACCAGGGCTGCGTCCTAATGCACCATTTTGCAGCCTTTGCATGCTGATGGCCAAAATTCCTGTGGAAGGAAGACTGGCCTGTTCAAGGGACTCTCCTTTAGCAGTTGCACATTGCTCCCTGTGTTAAAGTGTTTCACAGGGCAGGGGGACAGGGAAGCATGGGCAGGGAAGGGCACTAGCACAGTTCATCTTGCTACCCAGCTAGGTGAGCATGTCTGGTTAGCTACCCAGTGTTTGGTAGCTATAAAATCCTAGCAATTGCTGGGGAATCAGAGAGGGGATCCACTTCTCCTCTCTTCTCTCTCTTCAAGTCTCTTTGAACTAGCTGATTTGTGAGGAGGCCAAATCCATTACCACCTTTCCCCCAGAGTGCCCTTCCAGGTGCCTGTGCCCTGCAGGGAGGACAAGGCAACCGCTGGGTAAGTAGAAAAATGGGATTGCAAAATGGCTGGTGCTGCCAGGAAGCCTGGAGGTCAGCAGCAGCACAGAGTACCTTCAGCTGGGCTGCCTGCCCCACTGATGGTGGTCCTGTCCTGCCCCAAACTGTGGGGCCATGGCCATCAGCAGTCGAGGCAGGGAGGCCTTTGGGGACTGCAAGTTCTTCTGGCAGGCCCAGGAGGTAACTTGCCAGCTGGAGCTGTCAGCAAGCGCCAGTTTGCTGCTTCAGTGGGATGTTTGGGTAATGCAGGAACTCCCATGTTGGAAACAACATTAACAGCCCTGGCCCATGCTTCAAGAAGGTCTGGGCCTCATTGACTTTTATTTTGTGTGAGGACCCCACTGCCAACTCCCACAAACAGGAAAAAAGCATTTCCCAGCCTGAACTCCTCAGCCCATCTGAGAAAGCCCTTGGCTCAGCCTCCCTGGGGCTCCTCTTTGTGCTTTGCTCAGGCAAAGAAACCCTTCCACACATGCAGAAAGGGAAGCTCTGCCCCTCTGCAGCTACTCAGGGCTCTGCATGCTGCATCATCATGGGCTCAGGGGAATGAAGCACAGACAAGGCATACAACTATCTGGGAGCTTAAAAAGAAGGAGTTTTAAAGCCCTCTGTAATTTTTTCAACAGATGATCTGTTTCTGTTCTTATTTTGTAACGTTTCCTGTGGAGTCCACGCCCCTGTCCAATTTTCGAAGGGTACTTGGAAGCCTGTACTCCCGCACAGAAGGCAGGGATCAGAGCCAGCACGGTGTCATGGAGGGGTCACGGCTTCCTGGGCTTCCTGTTTATTTTGGGAAGGGGTCACCCGGCCAGCCGGCCGCTCTGCCTGCACCTCGGGAAGCCCCCCGCCACCACATTCCTGCCCCCATCGCCCATGGATGCAGACAATTGCTGACTGTGGCTCAAAATGCAGAGCACCAAGGCGGGGTGTGAAGGGGATAACCCGATATGCCTATTTACCCAGCCTGGGGATAAGGGACGGAAGCTTTTCCACATCAATTACCCTTTCTTCTGGTATCTGGAAGTGTTTCTCTGAAGTTTTTCTTTCTCTTCCAAGGATAGCAACTTCTGAAATTCTTAAGTACTTCCATGATCTTTTCCTTGATGCTTTTTTCTACTCCTGCTTGAAAAGAACGCATAAAGTCAACTCCACTGCACAGTTAAAACCAGAATTGTTTGCCTTTTTAAAGAAAGCATGCAATTTTTGCTCCAAGCTGTCTAGGGTAGAGCCCACCAATGGAGCAGAAGCTGTAGCACCCAGGCTCTTGTAACTAGTCCTGCCCAAACTATCTAAAGCAAAACACTGGAGCAGAATATCAGCATACATACATATTTTAGGAGATGGTACACCAGTCTCCTTCTGCTGTTTCCTTTTCTAGGCAGGCTCTGCTTTGGAGCCTCACAGCTCTTCAGAAGTTAACACGAAACAGCAGCGTTCAATGCAGCTGTTTTCAAGGAGTTAATAAAAGGCACCATGTATGGGAAAGGGCAGACACTGAGTAGCTGCTCGAGTCCCTCTCAATCCTCTGGCATGTCCTGCCTTGCAGGGAGCTAGTGCAGTGACCTCTCTCCAGCCTCAGTAGAGTATTTCTGTGCCAGTGCCTCTGTCAGCTCCTGCCATCAACAGTCAGCTCCAGGCTACAGGGCAGCCGTCAGCACACCACTGACAAGCGGCTCTCAGGCAAGCATGCTCTCACCCGGTGAGCATGTAAGTGCACATGGCTTTACATTCATAGTGATGCTCCCGTGAATAAAGTTATAAGTGGTTGTAAACATCTGCAGGATCGGTGGCTTACCATGAGCCTGTCCAAAGCCTATTTATGTCAACAAGCTGTGCCTGATTACACTCTCATTTGCATCGGTATCTTTTTTTTTTCCCTATGGCACTAACATTGTTTGCCCAGAATCACCTGCATCTGACCAAATCCAAAACCTCAAGGACTATTCCCAGCCTCTCTTCTCTCAGTTCTAGGAGAACAAGCTCCATAATTCATTATGGATCAATGAAGGAGAGTTGGTAGCACTCTCCAACATAATCGCTTTTCTGTCTTGGCTCTGGCCATTTTGATACTACTCTGCAGGACTTCTGCTGCAACACAAGGATGCCAATAAGAGCTGGATGAGTATGTGAAACAGCTCTCGATGGGGAGGGAAAGAGGAATGCCAAGGGCACAGGAGAGCAGGTGAGGAGCACTGGTTTGGACACAGAAGGAAGGGTAGGCCCCATGAGGGATGAATATGTGGGTAAAGTGCAGGCTGGGGGCACAGTTCTGGGACAAGGATCTGCATGCGATCACTTCCACTAGCACAGAGGACAGGTGGGAAAGTAAATAGGATCCTGCAGGGAGAAAGAGAAACACAGTAAAATCTCAGTGTGGTTCACTGAAAAAAGCCAAAAACCACACGGTGAAAAGGGGCTTACCATGGCGATGTAGGGGTGGCAGACAGAGATCATCTCAAAGAGCTGCCCTCTTCAACCTCTCCTCTCCCTTCTTTCCCTAACCCATGATATTGGGCACACCAGAACAAGACAAAGGCTTTCCACACCGTGCTAGACCCCCATCTATACTACCATGGTGCTCCCTGGCCAGAAACTGCCCCAGACCTGCACAGCCCCACATCCCATCAGACGCCCTCCAGCACTCACTGCTCCTATCTATAGCCTTGGTGTGTCATAGCAAGCAGTATTTCTCAAAGATCAGGCACAAAAGGATGGTTTCTGTTTCAAAAATGAGAAAAAAAAGGGAACAAGAAACAAACGCATTATTTGCTTGATTCCTGTGCAGTTACCTCTGTAGCAGTCAGCAGCTTTGAGGTATTTTTTTTGTGATTTGATACATAAACCGCATTTCCTATGTAGCACTGCCACTATTTTTTATCAGCTTTTTGACATTGAGCTCAGTAACATGGGTTTTTGTTTGGCTTTTTTTTGCCTTTCCACCAGAATGAATTCAAAGGCAGTAAATGTGGCAGAACCAGAATACGGCTCGTCTTGACTTTTCCATGCAGCTAGTTTTGATTAGAAATAAAGGAAAATGAATACAGATCACATTTTCTGTCCTGCAGTTAAAAGCCTGCCACAGCTGAAAGCCTTGCTTTCTTCTTCCCCTGCAGCCTCGCTCAGCTAGCACTCCAGCTCTGCTCATGATCTGAAATGTGCAAACACACTGTTTCTTGGCTTTCCACCAGTATATATAAATATATGTAATTTTTTCCTTCGGAGAACCTGGAGGCTAAAGCAAGAGGGCAAAGGAGTACGTGACTAAAACATCCAAACTTCCTCTTTCATAAGCCATCACATGATGAAGTGCAATTACAATTCCTGCCTTGTCCCTGCCAATTGCAGGCTCGTTGCCTCATCCGAGAAACCCGGCTTCTTCCCCCCGTGTGTGTGTGTGTGTGTGTGTGGAGGCAGCGATCGCTGCAGCCGGCTTGGCGAGGCTCCAGCTTCGAGCTGGAGAAAGAGGGCAGTGGGTGGAAGACGAAAACAAAGCTCTGTTTACTTAGCATGCATGGATAAATCGCCTTTCCAGCCGGGGAGAGGAGGAGGGAAGAGAAACAGCTTTAAAGGACTTCGATGCAATGCGAAAGGAGGGCTGCTCGGTAAAAGCGAGCCGATGTTAACCCTTGGCTCTCCGGGAGCACGTCGGTGCCCCGGCAGGATTGTCCCCTTCTCCTTGCTCCTGCCCCCCGGCCTCGGCCGGCCACCTCAGAGCGGGTACGAGCTGTGAAGGCTCCGGGGGCAGCCCCCGGGGCAGCAGCCCTGGCCGCCGCCGACGTGCGGGGCTGATTCGGGGGCTGGGGCGGATTTTGATTTCGTTTGTACAGCCCGGCGCCGCCAGGACGCTCAGCCGGGCGTGCAGTTGCTAAGTCACCCAACCTGGCAGGGAGGGCCAGCGCTGGAGCCAGCGCCAGGACGACGAGGAGGCCGGGGCAGGGTGAATCAAGGTCCCACCACGGCCGCCCCAGGGCGCACAGGAGGCCGCGACATACCCAGCCCCCGGCCCCGGCCGAGTGTGGGGTGACTGCTGCCCCCACCGCCCGCCCGACCCCCGCGCCGGGCCGAGGAAGAGCAGCTGACAGGCTGCGCTCTTCCCGGGGCCGGCCCCACAACGCCCCGTCCGCGCCGTCGGGCGTCTCCCAGCAGCGGGGAGCCACCTCTCGGCGGCGGCAGCGGACGTCAGAGCTTCCCCGGCCCCGGCCGGCCCCCGCCTCCCGCCCTCCTTCCCTCCCTCCCTCCCCCGTAACCTACATAACGCCGTGGGAAGGGCGGCCTGAGCACGGCTGTCGGAGGGAGCAACCTTCGCCGTGTTTACCCTGCGCGGGCAGACGCGTGCAGCCGGCCGTACGTGCCGGGGTGCGCCCGGTGAGGGGTTCCTTCACCTTCCATGGCAAAGGGGAAGAGCGAACACCCTCTTTTCCTCCCTCCCTTGCCCCCGCCCTGTGTTTCGGTGTGGATGCAGGCAGCGGATGAGCAATTCGCAGCGTGTATGGGGCACAGGGAAACATGTCTGCAGGTTTTTGTTTTTTGGGGGAAGGAGACGGCGTTTGCTTAAGTCTGTGTGAATTTCGCTAATCTGCATTAGAGAACCGCTGGTTTGTGGTTGAAAATGACAGGAAATCTAGAGCGTCCTATTTCCTGTGCACAATGACAACAGTTAAGAAAAAAAAAACAAAACTGGGTAATCGTTGTATTTATTTCTAATGGTGCCTCCTGGCCCGGCGGGGAGAACAAAGCCGACTCGTGCCCGGCGGTGGCGATGACCGACCCGGCAGGAGATAGCCCGGGCACCACGCCGTGCCCAAGGTCACAGAGCGAGCGAGGCGGGAGGCAGAAGGGGGGACATCGAGCCCGTCACTACGCCCACGGGTGGGAGGTTTCGGCAAAGCCCCTCGGCGGCGCAGGAAATAGTAATGAACCCAACAATAACAAAAATAAAATCAGAGAAGGAGGGAGCTGCAGCGCACCCCCGCCCCTCGCATTGTCCCTCTCCGCTCCCACAGCCCTCCCCGGGGCCGAGACGGGGCGGGGGCGCAGTGGCCCTCCGGCGGCAGGAGGAACCCCCGGTGCCGGTGGCGGTGCCGGTGGCGGGGGCGCGGGCAGGGGCCGGCGCTGGGATCGCGGCGGCGGCGGGGCGGGGGCGCCCATCGCGCAGGCGCGGCCGGCACTGTCGAAGAATTGAGGCGGCGGCGCGCAGAGGCGGCGGTGGCGGCTGGAGCCCGGCACGGCACGGCGCCGCCGCCAGCCCCGGCCCCGGCCCCCGTGGCAGTCCCCGCCCCGTCCGCCCC